TAAGTACTTGTCATACTTTAATTTATATTCAGTCTAAAGTCATAAAGTATTATTAAGACTTTGAATTGTCATTAAGACATTGAAAGTTTCTCTTTGAATATTCCTTAAATTTTATAAATATTTTGAAAGTCCTATCAAAACGATAACAGTATATCATTAGAATCTTTATCAATAATTTCATTTTCATCAAGAATATAATTAATATGTTCATGCATTACTTCATTTTGAATATCAAATAAATATATTTTATATAAATTAAGATAATAAATTTTACTTATCTGTTAATTAAAATAGGAAATATAAACATTTTGAACTCAATTGTAACTATAATAAGCAATAGTATTAATACTATAATAATTAGTTTTATCTCCTGTTGCAGCATAATTATCATCTATTAATTTTTTTTGTTGTTTTATTAATTTTGTATTTTTGTTATAATAATTTAGTCTTAATTAAATGTTCTTTGTATTTTTTCAGTAAATTTTTGTTTTGTTTTCTTTATAAATATTATACTATAAGTTATTTTGAAAATGTTGATATATATTATATAAATTCATTCTTGAACTCATAATTTAAATATAAGATATTAATTAATATTATAACTTGCAAAATACATCATATTTTAATCATTTTAATATGCTATTGCTTTCAAGATTTGCAATAAACTGATTTGTAACTTATTTCAGCTGGTAATAATATAAGTAATTGAATAATGTGATTAATATTTCTATCAAATCTTGGTAATTTATGAATTTTAGCATAGTTTTTGAGAAAATTTTTCACAATGATAGCAATAATTATACTATATCATTTATTATCAGATGATTTCTAATATTTTTAAAGTGCATGTGACTGATTTCTAACATATTGAGATACATTTTTTAACAAAAAGACACATTACAATCTCAATAATGAAAAGATTTCTTATTAGTACATGTTTTCTTTTTAAGATATTAGCTAACAGTTATTTCTTTATTATTCATTGCTTTTAGCTGGATTATTAAAAATATATCTTGTTTAAATCTAGAGAGAGCTTGAAATACTTCATATAACTTGGCAAACTTCTCTCAGAATTATTTTTGAGCAATCACAATTGCAACCAATCCTCAAGAAATGCATTGCTTTGTCATATTCAATGAAAGTATTATAATTATAATCTTTTATAATTCTCTATAATTTTTATTTTTCTTGACACAATTTTATTACAAAGTATCTTTTCACTCTAATCTTTTTTTACCAATAAACAGTGCATTATTAAAAAGCTAGACAACCACTAACAATACTTATATCAAATATCTAGTACTGATAGACCTAATGAGATCAGTTAATGACGTTAAGAAACTAACTGAACACCACTTGCCATGCAGATCCCTCAATTGATACAGATTTTCTGCTATCCCTAAATACTAGCTCTGCCAATCCTTTTTGGACATCATAAATGACATGCATAGGAGTCACACCTGGCAAGATTGGTCCAAAATGTCCAGAAAGAATGTTTTGAGCACAAAGGTTGACCACAAACATAGAGCAATCATGGAGCTTCCTGTAGTAGTCTGCACGTCTGCAGTGTTCATCAAAAACACCGTGGGTAGCTTCAACAAGTTCAAAACCGTATCGAGGCAGAGCTGCCATCCCTTAGAAGAATATCCAGACGCCGTCGTCGATTACCACATTCATCACGCTCTTTGGCCTCTGATATAACACGATAGAACAGCCGCGGGTAGGCAACAGCAAGTAGACGACGGATGGTGATATTAAATTCTACTTGGAATGTATATTCGGATGGTTGACCATTAAAATTGGTAGCCTGGTCAGCAAAGACATGCTGAACGGCCATGTTCTGCATAGAATAAGACTTAGTACAGGTTGTTTCTCGTAACTGTTAACATTTTCATCATCCCTACCTTAATAGCATGATCCAACAGCCATCGCACGTCAAGTCTGTCTGTATTTGGTGGTCGTTCCACCTTGAATGTAGGCCCATTTATGTGAGATATCATGATGTCACGAAGTACTGGTGCAGCACATTCCGTTACTACAGCATTGCCATCACGATATGTAATGAAAATCATTCCTTCAGCAAGTAGAAACCGGACATTCTCATCCTGTATCAAATTGAATAGTAATTAATGTACCAAAATATAACAACAGCTGAGCCAGCCAATGGACTCACCTCAACAAGCCTATGTGATCCGTAGCGAAGAATATTTCCGATAATGTTTTGCTGCTCTGAAGAGAGGTTTTTCAGAGATCGAATAATGGAAGCATATGTGTCCCGCTGTGCCATAACATCAGCTAGAGTAACAGTAGCACATTTCCAGTCATCAAGTGATACTTTGGCATGTCCGAGGGTACGTTCAAAAATATCTTTGGCAATATCAGCTGACTCAAGTTCAACTGAGGATTCTCTAGCATAATCATCAAGGAGCATTTTGATATCTGCTTCGATGAAGCGGTCTGGCTCAACGGTCGCCTCTGCGGTAAATGGAGAAATCCTGTTTTTAGAGTTGGGCAGTGGAGTTAGGAGCTTCTTAATGGTTTCGATACCTACGAGTGCAAAGGAGTGTAGACAGAATTGGTCATGGCCATCTTTGAGAAGACGCAGCACACCCATAAAGTCCTCAATGATTTTTCTGTCATGGTTAAGCAGAGCTGAACTCTCATCAAATACAAGAACAACGGGTAGTGATTCCTGCTTTCGTCGAAAGAATGTCTCAAATGTGGTTGTTGATATTGGCTCACTCTCATTGAAAAAGAATCGATCTTTGTCCAAGGCTTTCAACTTGCGGCATATAGTCAGCCAGAACTCATCAACTCCACGCTCTAACTGAATGCCACCATTAAAGGATATCACATAGATCTGTAGACCACGACCAAAGCCTCCAATTTCGATCTGTGTTGAATGACATGCGAGCCATCGTGCTGTAGCATAAACAGCTGCTGTTTTTCCACTCTGACGATGCCCATATACAAGACAAAATTTGCCTTGAATGAGATATGTGCTCAGTTTCTGAATTACATTTATTGGTTCGGCATAGAAGTTGATGTCCGGATATGCTCCATTGGCTGCTGTGAAGGTACGGGGTCCTACATCAAAAGTATATAAATGTCAGCTCAGGGATTAATGAGACAACATTGAGCTTACACAAAGCAAGATTCTGCATACACACTCTTGACCGGGAACATATCCGACTCTGAAGGTGAGCGTGAGCGTCGAATTCCTAGACCAGAAAACGGTATAGATGGCATAGATAAAAGAGTCGACAGATGAATGGGAAGTTAAGAAATCAGGTTGTACCAACGTTCCCTCAAATGAATGAATTGGATAGCTGAGAGGGAAACAGATGGATGTTCATATACAATATTAGATAAATTCATGATATAATAAACTATATTATCTATGTCTACTCTACCCTATATACACACTACTCTATGTCCCCAATGCCCGAGTCACAAAGTCGTTACCAGGCTGCCTCTAACTTCCCGCCCTCCAGCGCTCTGCCTTCCCACTCCCTGTCTGTTACTTACCTCGGGCAACGATGACTTTGAGCGGCTTTCGTGCGGTCGGACCAAAGGTTCGATCCACGACATTATCTGGCTCAAGAGCCACTTCCTCGTCGTGTCGGCGGAGGGTAATGTCAGCGACATCCACATCACCCAACGTATTTGTTAGCTTCCTCTTGATCGCTTCCTTCAGGTCGTCGACATCCCCTCCACTGAAATTGACTTTAGCCGGCTGGCTTTCACCGTGCTTTACCCAGATGTTGAAAGGCATGATATGAAGAGAGAAAATTTTTTTGCGCGGTTACAATAGGAAGATATGTGATCTAATATAAACCAGAAAGGTTCGCTATAAAAAACGACAGAAATTGGGCTATTTTACAAAAAAGCTTCGCGCGAACTGATTTTATAAAAATCCATCCAACAGACTTTATCATTTTAAAATGTTTCGAATTTATTCTTGGATTATTGATCGGAATTATCCTTGGATATTCCCTTTATTATAAAATTCAGAAAATTGATGAAGTGATCAACTTAATGGGTCCAAAGAAGGAATATAAAATTATAAAAATATGATTAGTGCAAAAAATTTTGTATTATTATATTAAGATATTGCTTTATTAATACAGTAATATTATATATAACTATTAGTATAATTAATATAGTTAATAATATAACCAGAATTGAAAATTATTCAAAAATTATATTATTAAGTGAATTTTTTTAACATGTATTATATTTTGTAAACCAAAATATTTCCTTTATAAAAAATTTAAATTTTTAATTTAAGTTTAAAAGTATTTTTTAATAATATAAATTTTAAATTGTATTATAAATCAGTTTTATTCAAATTTCAAAAAAATAATTGGTTTTACAAAAAAATTGAACTAAATAATAGTTAAATTATTTATTAATAAAATATTTTAGTTCATAAACTATAATAATTTTTAATTAAATACAAATAATTTTTATTATTAATTAATTAATTATATACTGAATTTTTTAGATTAATAAATTTGATACAAGAAATTAAAAAATAAAAAATAATAGAATAAATATTTAAATTTAAATTTAAATTAAAGCTTCAATAAAAAATATTAGTAAAATATAATTTTGTCTTTAAATATAATTTTAATTTTTAACTTTTAATTCTAATACTAAATTAATCTTTAATATTCTTAATTAAATAATATATAAAAAATTAGTAAATATATTAATAATATATATAATAGTATTATAATATTACTATATTTAGTAATATTTATTTATAATAAATTATATATTTAATATTATAATTATTATAATTAAGTTAGCTATAATATATTATTATAACAAGTAATTTTTTCAATAAAAATTACTTTTAATTTATTTATATTAATATATTAAAATATTATTATAAGAAATAATATTATAAAAAGTACTTATTATACAGTCAAATCTCTCTATAGTTATACTCATTTATAGTCATATCTTTCTATAATTATCCTATTTTGCTTTTCTATTAAAAAATTTCTCTATAGTCACATTTTCTCTATAGTTATCAAATTTTACTTTTTCAAGAATAGTAACTATAAAGAGATTTAATTATATATAATTTATTAATAAAATATAATAAAAATTAAAATTTTTGTTTTATATAATAATTAACAAAATTATGAAATTATATATTGCTATCATTTCTAGTTTTTATATATGAAAATATTTAGAAATGACTAACAATAACTGTGTTTATGACAGATTTTAAATAAAAATGATATAATTAATAATAATAAATAGTTGATAATAATAAATTAACAAAAATATAGATATAAATTAAATATTAAATATGTTTAAGTAATAATAAAAATAATACTAAAACTAAATAAATTAAAGTTAGAAGTATATTATAAAAAATAAAGATAATATGATAATAATTAAAAATAAATAAAGATAAAACAAAGAGAAAACAAAGAGAAAACAACAAAAAAATAATAGAAAAATAATAGAAAAACAAGAAAACAAATAAAAATAAAGTGAACAAAAAAATAAATAAGATAAAACAAGACAAAAGTTAAAATCAAAATATAATCTTTTTAGTTTATTTTAAGTTAATCTCATATTATATATATAGTAAATTTAAGTTATACTAATCTATATGTTATTTATATATATAAATTACAAAGAAAAATCAATAAAAATATAAATCTATAACATATTAAAATATGATAATTATTATGTAATATTAAAAAAAGAATTTGTGTAATCTATATATTGCTAATTAAATTAATATAACAAGAGATAAAAAAAGTATTAATAAGATTTAAGATATAAAATTAATTGGTTAAATAAATGTAATAAAATTTAGATTAAAATGATATAATGAAAATAAAAAAGGATTGAATAAAAATATAAGTTATTGCTATTAAATAATAATAAAAGAAAATTATAAAATATAAAATATAAAAAATAAAATAAAAAATAATAGAAAGAATATTTTTGTGCTTTTGATAATAAAAATGATAAAAAATAAAATGATAAAAAATAAAATAATAATAATATATAGTTTTATTAATAAATATTTTTTATTTTATATTATAAAATAAAAATATAATTTATATATTTTTTGAATTTTTTAGATAATTAATTTATATTTAATTAAAAGAATTATTATAAAAATTTTTTATAAAACAAAATTTTTATTTTTATTGTATTTTATTAATAAAATTATATATATAATTTTTCAAATTTAATTCAACAAAGTTATTCTAATTGCAAAATTATTATAAATATTTTTTATATTTACTTTTATATTTTAATTATAAAAATTAGATTAATCTAAAAAAATCCAAAAAAAATATATAACTTATAATTTTTATTTTAATATAAAAATAAAAAATTTTATATAAAATAAAAACTATATATAAAAGTTTATAATTTTATTAGTTACTATATATTTTTTTGAATTTTTTTAATTAATTTTATATTTTAATTATAAAAAATTTTTATAATAACTTTATAATAAAAATAATTTTATAAAATTAAATTTAAAAATTCAAAAAATATATAACAACTAATAAATATAATAAAAATTAAAATATTTATTTTATAATTTTATAAATAAATATTTTTATTTTTATATTAATAAATTTGACTTAGATTTTTATATTACATATTGGAAATTTGAAATATTAGTAAACTTTGAATCTAACGACAAAAGATAAAGAAAATAAATTTAATTTAAAAAAATACAAATATCATTATATTGTTATTTATTTCTATTGGTCTTATTATCTTTCAAATATAAATTATATGTTTCAATCAGATAGGAGATTATTAAAGATTTTTGTATGTTTAAAATAATTAAAGTTGAAAGAGACTAATTTAATAAAGATAAATAATTTTATATTCATTTTGTTGAACTACTAGAATGAGTTCAGAAATTTTCTTTTAATTCAAATGATTTAATTATTTAAATAATCTTCTTTTATTGATTATCTTTTAATAAAAATATCTTCTTCTTTTATTATAAATCTAAATAATATTAATTAACTTCACAGAATGATGATGAAAAATTAATTATATTATTATAAATAATATCGCTTATTACAGATAAGAGATCTTTTTAAAAATAAAAGAATACAAATAAGAAAGAAAAAGAGTAATTAATATTTGACTGAAAATCTCCAACTCAAGACTTATAATACAACTCACTTCTAAGAAGATTTTGTTAAAAGAAAATTAAAGTAAATAAGAAAATTATAATCTAAGAAAATTAATATCCAAAAAGATTAAGAATCTAAAAGATTAATTTTTAAAAAAGATTATTTTTTAAGCTAAGATATATATTATATTTATATAAGTTATTGTTACTTAATCTTCAAATATTAAAGCTATTTTTAATTAATATTATAATTACAAAAAGTACTCATTTAATGGTTATATATTGCTTGCTCACTTGATAATTGTACATTACTTGTTTTAATATTACATAAATTTCATCATTAATATTAATCAAATTTAATTATGTAAATTAATTAATATATATTTTTTATACTAATAATAATTAGTATAAATTATAATTAATATAGAATAAAATAATATAAAAATAAAATAAAATAAAATAAAATAAAATAATATAAAAATAAAATGAAATATAATGAAAATAATATGAGTAAAATATGGATAATATAAAATAAATATGAATATAATTTATAAATCACATATAAATTAATTATTCAATCAAAATAAATTATAAGAAGTCATATGATATATCAAAATTTATTTTACAACAAATTTCTCAAAGTTAATATTTTACTTCATAAAATTAAATAAAATGAAATAATATAAAATAAAGTAAAATAAATTAAAATAAATAAAATAAAATAAAATATAAAAATAAAAATAAATTATACTACTTTTAAATCTTTCATAACTACTTGTGAAATACTATTAACAAATTCAAATAAATTTTTTATATATTTTTGAAGATTATCACTAGTCTTGTGACTTATTTTTCTAATATTTCTTAGGAAAAATAGTTGATCTAATTCTCAACAATTAATAAAGTAAGAATTATTTCTAAAGTAATTATATACTCTAAATAATAATGCTACTTGTTGTTTAATATACTTATTTGCTATACATCATCTAAAAATCTTTTAAATATCTGTTATCCTTTGGATACAAGTTCCAGTAGTTATTTTGATTAATACTCTTCCAATTTTATAATATAAAAATAATGAGTATAACTAAATAGCTCATTATAATCA